TTGGTGCTCGGCAAGTGTGGTCGGGTGCTAGTCATGGCCCTTCAGTTTGGGTCGTGACATCTTAGGCAAACCTACAAGGGAAAAGAGAATATCAACATCATGTAAGCTTGGGGCATAGAAATAACTATCCAGGAGAAAGCCTTACCATGAGAACGGGCCTCCCATCTGCCATTCAAAAGTTTGTGCCACGTGCGCTCGTAATATGACTTCTGCTGGCAGATCCCTTCGATCCACTCCTTGAGCTGAGGGACCGTATTAGGAACCCGAGCAACAGCTGCACGACCACAAATATTGCCGGTGAGAGATGAAATGAAGAGAAATTGAAACTTAGGGAAAGACTATACTTATGAGATGCGTTCCATTTCTCGGGGAATGGCAGGAACTCGAGAGGGACCAAGTCTTAGGTTTTCACCCGAAAAAAATGCCCTTGCCAGTCTCGATCTTGATTCTCATTGATGCTCGAAAAGGGGGCCTTGCTGGCTCGGCGAGCGAGCTTGAATAGTCTCTCTCAAAAAATTCGAGGACTGTATAGACGAAGTGGGTAGTTGAGGGTGAACCGAGAAGATTCAATGTTTTTCACAAAGTGGCATTAGAGAATCACAATCCTCCAGAAAGTCGGATGGATTAGCCCGAGGTATACTTCGTACCTCTTGGAAAAGGCCAGGATCACCGGGGTCAGTCGGGTCTAACGTAAAGGGGTAAGTGTAAACACTTAAATACCCCTCCACATGGGTGGTAATGTCGTCCTCAAGCCCGGGAACAACCACGTATTTACCTTCCCATCTACAGTCCTCTCGGACTATGTGAAGGGTATCTTCAGTAATTGAGCATATGTATCTCCATGCTCCTTCACCCCGGTCCTGTTTGGAGGAGGCCTTCCCGACTTTGAAGTCATTCCCGAATGAACAACCCCCGAGTATAAAGCTTTTCATGGGAGGCTCTGGGGCCTTCTCGGGAGCAGCCGCCTCGGCATCAGTGGCCGGGTGGGAAGATGAAGGGGCAACCTACTAAGGAACTGATTTGGAAATTTTAGCCATTGCAATATAGGAGAATATGAAGATTTAAAGAAAAAGTATAAAGGTTTGAAGGAACAAGTATGAAGGTTGAAGAAAAGAGTATGAAGATCTGAAAGTAGAATGGAGATCTGGGTAGAAACCTAAGAACAATTATGAAGATTTGAAGGCCAAAGATGAAGATAAAAAGATTTGAAAGAGTTGAAAGCCACTAGAGAATTCGAAGGTAAAATCTAGGATCAGAAAGTAGAAGAAGTACAAAAGGTCAAGCTTTTATAGGAGGAAATGTAATCAATACACGGCGATTCATATTCGGAGATGACTTGCCGATGATCGACACATGTCCGAAGTCATAACGATGCGAATTATGAGACGTTTCGGATTATTCGTTGTTACACCCCATAATGCTAGCGCAACCGGCACCCGGTGCCTTTAACTTTCATCGGGAGAACCGCCTGTTTTTACTACCAATTATCATATCAATAAATCAAAATAAGACTTTTCCGAAAATAATAAGTATCGATGATAAAACATCCTTCTAGTCTCGAAACATAAGTTGAGCCAATGGCCAAAATACATAAGTAGCAGAAATAAAAATAACAGCATAACATGAAGATAAAATGATAGTTCTCATAAACCCATAGACCTCCCACAACTGTGCCTGGAACCTCTAAGGAAGTACACGAGAATGATGGTACGAGACATAAATCCCCGGCTCATCCAAAAGAAGTACTATAATAACAATGAACCCACAGAAGTAGTAGTGGGCTCACCAAAAGCAACTGGAAGATGGAGAAGACACCTAGCACACACTGTCAGCTCCAAAGTGAGTAGGATCTGAAACAATAAGGTAAGATGCCTCACAAAGGAGGCTGAGTACAATTTCTATAGAAATTGTACCCCGTAAGTATCATTGACTCCTTAAGATTGAAGCGATACTTTCGGGATACATAAAAAAAATACACATGATATGTAATAAGTCAAACACTTTGCAAAAATAGTGGTGATAAATGATGAACATTTAAGCATTTCAAGGATTTAAATCATTTTTATAAAACTGTAACTCTTTCTATGATTATGGACCTTCAATAAACTTTAAACCTTTTTGTGGGGAGTTCCATAGTTGCCATAAGCAACAATATTCGATAACTGTAGTGACCATCGCCTGGTCACGAGCCCGTCTCACCCAAAGTCGTGGGATTTTGACGATAGTGCTAGCATGGTGAACTGTCTCTATGGACATCAAGTGATACACACATGGCAAGTGTGATCCATATTCAATATATATAATTCTCCTCAAACTATAACTTTAAAGCATTTTGACCCATAGGTCTTGTACATTTTTTTTAATATCTTCAGTGAGCAATATTTCCTTTGAAGATAATTTAATAACTTGGAAGTGCATTCACAAATAAACTTTTACATTTTACAATATTATCAACTCAAATCAAGTTGGTAAAATGCAATATAAAGTGTTACCAAAGAATGAAAGCTTGAAAATATCCAGCGCCACAACTTATACGTAAACAGTACTACATAATAACACTATACACTATAAAATGTTAAACCATGGTTGGTAGATTTTGCTCGCTCTAACGAAGTCAATCCAACATTGAAAGAATTTTAGTAACTCTTTGGAATTTATGAAATTTGCAAAATAATCCTTAAGAGAAGGTAATCTTAACTTACCTTATTCTAGTCTTCCATAACATGCAAGAACCTTCTACGCGCTCATCTTGATTCAATCTACGTGATAATAACCATTTTGTTTTAAATCCAATTGAATTCAACGGAATCCAACTCATATAGAGTTCAGGACATAACTACTGGACCATCCTCAATTCAAACCCACCTTTCTTCCATCTAATGACCTTAATAATTCAATACCCAATAATAATTAAATTATTAAAAATCATGAAGGACAATATTCAACTATTTCACAACCCCAAAGTACTAGTCATGACCTTTTGCACCTATTTCTTAAATTTCAAGAATAACCATTTCGAAAATTCACTTAATCCACAATTTAAAAGATATTTTCAACACCTAAATACCTTCATTAACCTCTATGTTCATCATAGTTGAAAGAAAAGACAAGAAATTACCTCTTGAAGAAATCCTAGAAATCCTCCTATTAAAGTTCTTGGGAGGAATCCTTGAAATAAAATTGGAACCATATTCTTGCTACTGTTGTTATTGTTTGTTTGCTGATAAAAAAAAAACTTGTGGGATTCAAGTTCACCAGCCCCCTTTAATGTCACTAGCGTTTTCAAACACAGAAGAAGACTCTGTTTGTTGCCCTTTATTCAGCCAAGAATCCCCAATAATTCAAGTGGTTCAAATATTATACTTATTGTCTTAAAAAGACCCTTATGTCTCTATCTCATTTATTAAAACATTGAACTTGTTTCTCATCCTCACGTGTAAAGCCACTTTATAAGATGCTTTTGGACTATCATTCTCCTCATATAATTGATTTTTTTTTTTTTTTTTGTAGAAAGTAGATGCTGCAGTATTCTCTTACATGGTAGGGTAAGCAATACTTTGTTGACTTGCCCTTTCTATAATACACAAAATCTTCAATATAATTATCCCTTAGAGTTGATGCCCATGATAGTTTTAATTGGGTCTTATTTACACCAAGAGAGTACCTCAACGTCATTAGGCACATAGTTAGCCCAAATAAACATTTAAATGTTACGGGGCTTTACATTCGTCCTCTCAATTGTAACGTACGAAGGAAGCAACCGGGGTTCATCTATCGTTTCCCCTCGTTTCGACGAACCTACTCTCTGAGAAACAAGAGGACTATTTGTATATGGGTGAACTCAAGGTTAGCGCACACATCGGCTTCCCGATAGTTCAAACTAAGAAAGAGTATGAATGTATGAGATCGAGACCGAAGTTGGGAACTCTTTGGATCGAGGCCGAAATGGTGTACTCGCCACCAGGACCGACGAGAAAACACTCCCCGAACCCAGAACGACCTCCAAGACCTCATAAAACACTATAAACGGTTACACATGACTAATAGAGCGCCGTGATATCCACACCCAACCGGATATCACGGCACAAATCTCGCCCGTTGTGTATCGGTAATTGACGAGAAATGAGGATTTTTACCTTTTTTTAGAATTTTATTAGGGATGAAACTCTTCTACTACATAAAAGGGAAGCTTTTTATTCAATGGACACATTGTAACACGCATATCAAGGCAATACAAACTTATTTCTCTGCTTTCTAGCTACTGCAAAATCTTGACTTTATTTTTGTCTTTGTTCTTGTCTGGCTTCGAGCTTACGACCCAATCGAGGGCAGAATTTAATGCTCGGTCCAAGTTCAAGTTAGGCCATAACGTTACGACTTGTTTGATTATTCATTGTGTCTTTAACTCATTTTTCTAACATTCTTGATTGTTTGTATTGAATCAATCCACATATCTTTAAAAGTGCATATAAATTCAATTGTTATCCATTTTAAGGATAAACAATTACTATAAAGAAGAATGACGTGTATAGAAGATATGTGCAACATCTTCGGGGTCATACACAAATTTACCATATCTATTAGCCTCGGAGTTAAACGCAAGACCATGGCCACATGTCTGATAAATAGGGGTCATTAATAGCTGCGAATAAGGAAAGAATCAGTTAATCCCCGATTGCACGGGATTTGCCATCAGTACCTCAACTAATACAAATCAGTCATGTAACAAACAATTAGTGCTATAAATAACAGTAACAGACATGATTTAAACAAGGCAAATAATTACGAATGAAAATACTATTTAAACCACCTTTCCATATCTTGTATCCCTCTCAAAAAATATTCAAATATTCTCTCTCAAATATATTGCTCAATTTAAGCTCTCTTTTGGGAGAAAAGTATTATTGCATTCATATAGAAGAAAAGCTACTTTCATCAATAAGATTTCTATTACTTTTCATCTTTCAATTTGTTTCTTATTTTATTTTTGTTACTTTTTCTTATCGTTCATATTTGGAAAAGTGAATTAAATCGGTTGTTAGTAATTCAAAATATTTTTCTAATTGCTTTGACCACAAAATAATTTTATGTTAAACAATGAGCATGTTATCTGTTCGCCCATATTGATTAAGAAATGTGTTGTTGTCTTGTCTCCGTCTATATAATTAGATCATCTACATTTTATGAACTAATTTTTGTGAGTGAATTATACCCTATATCCATATTTCTTTAAATTATACTTTATACAGAAGGATCAACAGCTTGCAGAAATGCTATGGACGTGGTCCAGTTAGTGATAACAAAGAGAACATCAATTACCGCTTACCACATGTATTATCTCTAATTTTTCAAAATCTCAACATAATGGCTTCATATGAGAGAAAAGTAACTTTGTTGAATTGGAAAAGAGTACGGTAGGACTATATTTTGGATCACTGAATATATTGGAGATAATTGTTTGATTGTGAAATGAGATTGATACTTTTCTCTAATATGAAGCCATTACAGATAGCTTCAGTGGTAATATGTTGGGAACTTTGGAAAAGTTGGACGGCATGTAAATATGGCGAGCAAAAAGAATTCTACAAAATCAAGATAGAATTTCAAACCATCTGGCACATTCAAGCAGCCCTCCAAATCACCTATCCCACTTATAACTTAACAGGTACATGGCCCAACATTTGCAATATGATTGAAAGACTTCAACACATAGTGAATATCAAGCAAGTCACTTGGAATAAACCTATGGCGGGATGATCAAACTCAATATAGATGGAGGCTCCATCAGAGAAAATGGAAATGCTGGCATCGGAGGTATTATCAGGGACAGTGAAGGATTTCTTGATGGCTTTTTCTCTCCCTGTGCACAATAGCAGCAACAATCAGGTTGAAGCAATGGCGGCCAACTTTGGCACTAAATGGTGCATTCAACATGGGCTAGGCATGATTCATATTGAACTGGACTCCATGGTGATTGCCAATATGCTTCTCAATAGGGGAACCAACAACCTTAATTTAAAGAACATTATCATGGATACTACTCATGCTCTCAAAGACGCTACTGTACAGATTTCTCATTGCTTCAGAGAAGCAAATCAAGTGGCGGATTTCTTCGCTAAGTTAGCATCTTCTAGTAGAACTATCACCTTCTATCACTCTCTCCAGCAGTTGCCAAGAGAGGCCAAGGGACTATTTCAACTAGATAGATAACAACTTCCTTCAATGAAAAGAAGATATGATAAATGTAATTTTTTTTAAAGCTGATTGTATAGCTTGTATTAATGAAAGGAATTTAGGCTTTCCTTTCTTTCATTAGTTATAGAGGTAAGGTCCATGTCCCCTCTATTTTGTATCTTTTTGTTTATATATAGACATGATAGGGGTCTTGCCTAACCCCCACACCAAAGGCTATTATAGCCTGAAGGTGATGGCTTCAATTAAAAAAAAAAGATTGATAAAATGTTGAGTAAAAAGATCTAAAGATTTGGAAAAAAAGATGTCAGTTTTTTAAGATTTTTGATCAATTATAGTAAAACACCGGCATGTGCAGCATAATTTCAAATTAAGATTAATTAAATACTTAAGCAAGTTGAGAAATCTTCTAGAGGCAGTTCATCTATAACATTAACGTTTGGCTTTCTTCTTCTCGTTATCAAGTATTTAAAAAAGGCACTATGTAGAAATTTCAATGCCGGTTGCTACACGGGATGAAAATTCCTACCTTCACCTTTAAGTTGATATAATTGGATTAATAATTAAGTTCTTACAAACACTAAGATAATTGACTTAGTAAACGTCCATTTCTGAACCAAAGAAAAAAGACAGTTCTTTTACGAAACATTATTTTGTTGTCGTAAAACAACATATTGGAGTATTGTTTACAATTTCTGGTCAAACCACCAAATATTTATTAGGAGTAATAAAAGAAATAGCTAATGCGCTATGCTTGAATCAGTCTTTATCTAGCTATCTAGATAATTAAAACCTCTACGTGATGAAACTGTACATAGTTCCAGTATGTATAAATATGTACAGCTAGTGCAGCACGCTTAAATATGAAGAATTAGGGCAGCAACCACGATAAAATTTACGGAAGATGAGGTCCGTCGCTCTTGTTTTCTTGGTTGGTGCAATTGCCTTTATATCTGCAGAATGCAACTCTGAAGGTTAAGTGTCTAATCAGAGAAGCCATCTTTTATTTAATTTCCTTTACCCTCGTACATATTTATTGGAAAAGAATCCTTTTGATTTTTAATTAAACTAATATATAATATTAAACTTGAATGAATGAGCAGGGGACACTCTTTACGCATGGAAAACTAACCTGATAGATCCAAACAATGTGCTTCAAACCTGGGATCCGACGTTAGTCAATCCTTGCACATGGTTTCATGTCACCTGCAACGGCCAGAATAGCGTTGTAAGAGTGTAAGTCACCATTTGACCTTCTAAAATCTCTTTATTAGATGAATATATATAGAGACAGACTTAAGAGCAACGAGTTCTGTTGAATTTGATTCGAACCATAAATATACAAATTCAGAAAAGTTACTCATATTTGACTATGTAGAATGATTTATATGTTGATGTTACTTAAGCATGTTGAGATTATTGACAATGATGATATATATACCAATGAAGGGACCTAGGTGCTGCTAACCTCTCTGGGATTCTGGTACCTCAATTGGGAACGCTAAGCAATCTTCAATACTTGTAAGATCAATAATTTGTCTTTTAAGCTTTTTTGATGAAACCAAGAATATATGCAATTTCAGATGTAAATCTTTTCTTGTTTAATACATTGACAGGCAACTTCAAAATAACTCAATTAGCGGAGAAATCCCAAGCCAATTAGGCAACTTGACAAAGCTAGTGAGCTTGGGGCTGGAAAATAATCAGCTGAGTGGCCATATTCCATCATCTCTTGGCAATTTAAAATCCCTACAGTGGATGTAAGCCATTCGACCATTCATTGCTACGTAATATTTATTTTCCTTTTTTATATAAGCCCTACATTTTTTGTATGTGAATCTGTTTGAGTAGATATAGAGTTTAATTAAGAGAGAAATGCGATCTTAATAAGTGGTCTTAAGTATGTAATTACATTGGATTTGTGTGTTTATAGAATCTTGTCATTGAAAGTGGTCAAATGTAAAGTTTAAATGTATATTATTTCGAAATATAAAAATATGTTTTTTATTTTTTAAGAGAAAAAAATAGCATCATAAAAAATGAAACAGGGGGAGTAAGGCTTAACTAATAAAATGACCGTAATTTGCTGTAAAAATGACTCTTTTTCCTTTGCAGGAGATTGGACGGTAATAAATTATCAGGGATCATTCCAATTGCAGTCTTGA